AATAGCGATGGCCTCCAACCTAATAGCGATGGCCTCCAACCTAATAGTTATAGCGATGGCCTCCAAGCTAAGAGCCATGGCCTCTAACCTGCTAGCGACAAGAACAAACAAGATCGAAGTACTAAGAATCTAAGATTCTGGAGATGTGCAACGGAGATGTGCCAGCAGGTGTGCTTGACGATGTTTCCACATGAAGGAGCCCGTGTATATATTATATATAGGCATGAGGGATGATTCGCAACAAAGCCTGAATCCGCAATATTGTTGTCTGACAAGACCTTGGATTTTTGTCAGGTATTGTGGCCCTATGGGTTTTGCAAACGCCTGACGTCCATACCCTATCCAGCATCAACTAACCGAACCTGGGTCATGCTTGCGTGTCTATGAACATCTCCGGTCAAATGGGAACCAGCCATGGGCCTCTCCCCACCTGGGCTTCTAAATTGTTCAAGACTCCCAAATCCGCACTGGCGCGGGGACTGTCCAATTCTCACTTTGGGACTTTTAGACTCTCCGGAACAAAAAAAAACATGCGACTTGGGAGCGATGTCCAAAAGCCGTGCTCACTGCTCCAAATCAGCGGTGACAGCCTCAAAGCAGCACCATCGTCCAGTCGACTGGGCTGCCCGGGCCGGTGGAGGCGTTCGTGAGCACCATGAAGAAGAAGCCCACCATGGCCTCAGAGCCCGATGATCCCCGGATAGCCACCACCGGCGCAGCCAGCAGGCGGAGGCCCAGTGGCCCCAGAAGGGGATGAAGTTCTGAAGAGCTACATCGGATGTATGATAGGCTACATGTGATTCATGTGCGATTCCCTGAAAGCGAAAGACTTGAACAGAAGCAGTTCTTATCAATGACATATGTCTGACTCTCTATGACTCACTCCTTCCGGCGGCCCGACTCACTTGGTGAATGTGAGTCCTACCGTGCGGCCGGAGTTCTTGACATCCATCGTGGGGTCAGCAACTCTTCACTTCGTTCACTTCTAGCGATCCAATTGAACCAAACTCCTGAGTTATCCTGAACGATTGACCTATTATCAGGTTGTACAGTTTGGATGGACATTGACCTCATGGCTGTGCTAAGAATGGCTGAATGGGACTGACCCATATCGATCATATCGCATGTTACCGGTTCGGAACAACTAGGTCACCCGATACTCTCCTTTCCGTTCGGAAACCTTGACGTTTTGCAGGCCTAGAAGGAAAGGGAGTCGTGGCAACCCCCCCCAACTGCATTCAATTCCATGGGGGCGTCAGCTATATACTATAGATAAGCACAGTGGACTTTGTAGAAAACAACGCTTAAAGAACCTTTGTAGGCACAACAGAAGAAAGAGGGGCAGGGGCAGCCGCCATCGAGGCTTCATGAACAAGTCCGGTCAACACGGTGCCAAGCCCACGCCAACCGGCAGACGTTCGGTCCCCCCGGTCGTCCGGGCGTCCGGGCCAATCGGCAATGCTTGATCTCCCTCAAGCGCATGTTGTTCCACTCCTCGGGGCGTGGAACCGTGTGGTTTCAAAAAGAAACACTCACTTCGGTTGGATGATTTGAGTCTCCTCTGTCTTTTTGGTGAATTGCACCGAAGCGACCATAGGTGGACGTCACCCCAAATAATTCCTCAGACCAGTTTCTACCAGTTATTGTTCCCAAGCAGGTTCCTTTTAACCTTTAGACCAGCCGCAGCGCCCCGTTTCAGGCCAACAAAGAGGTTGGGACTCCCGTTGGACGTAAGGGATGATGACTCGGAGGGTATGTCACGTCGTGAGCATATATTGGAAGAATTGTGTGTTTCCATGTTCGGTGCGTAAGTTTCCCTCCCGTTCAGAGAGTCTTACAAGCTGAGAAACACATGAACTTGGTCGGTTAAAGTACCGGCAACTTGGAAGACTGTGAATTTGGAAACTGGACATATCTCCCCACCAGTGAAACTAACTAAATTTACCATGTTGTTGGGAGTGACGATGATAGGCTAGCAAAGAACCTTAAACTTTGCTACTTAATGAAAGGCCCGGCCCAAATCAACTTCCTAGTTGGACAAAATGAGAACCCCCAACAGAAGTGACGGATGGAACATGATAGATACAATTAATCCTAATGGGTTCACAAGAACATCCAAAAGGAAAACCAAGTCAAACTGCTGATTAAAACCTCTTTCACCCACCTTTCAACTTTGACATGGCAAAGCTGTTTGTTTCCCTATCTGTGTCCAATGCTTCGAAAAATGTCCAAACGTGCATTCAATTGGCACCTGTATGTGTGCTGCGTGGTCCCCTCTCAGGGTTTTGCACACCCCTTGACATCCCCTTGACCATGCTACTCCACTGCTGTTCACCAGCTGGATGGATCGGGATGCTCCTGACCTGCTCCCACCCGGCTCCTCTGGCGCATAGTTCGCAGAGAAGGTGGGGCCGAACCACTTGGGTCGCTTGGAGCCCGTGGGTGCCGTGGGGTTCCAACCTGACGGATCGCACGACCGGCGCTGGTTGGACGAAGCATGGCTTGAACGTGCTTCACTTCGGCATACTTCATGATGTTGGACATTACTGGATCTGAAGGAGAATGGGATAATCTTGGATCTTAACTTAGAAGATCTTCAAAGGCTTTGCCCGAGAGCTTGCTAGTAGGGCTGTTCTGCTTGAGAAAACTTGCCAATCCCTTGATCATATCAAATACTTTCTTCCAACACTGGCACCCAAAGACCCCGAAAGTGGGGGTTGTTAACATCCCTAAAGCAGTATAATAAATATCCTTCCCCTACACCGACGCAATGTAGGCATTTTGGCCACCCCAAGTCTCGATATTTGTTGCTGGTTCTCAGCATGCCACACCACCAGGTTGAAGGTAGGAATTCACACCGATTCCAACTGATCTTTGTGGGAACAGTTGAACTGCCCAATTATTCTTGTTGAAGCGGCAAAACATGTCCGTATTTGTACATTTGTACATGCATTTATTCTAGATCTCCGCCTGCAAGTAACTCATCACTTGCAACTGCACGGCACTGTTTTTGTGCAACTCAACGCAGGCAGTATCGCACTTGCATCAATTGAAAAAAAAAATAACAGAAAACACATAGGAAGACAGAATATCTGAAACAAAAAACACCCGCTCGAACAACATGTTCTTGAACGACACCAAACGACGGTCTGGGCTGCCCAAACCCAGATCACCCGGCTGAACACCTTCCTGAGACACCGATGGAGAGCCGGCTGTGGCAGCATCAGCGCGGTCCGCAGCGCGGTCCGCAGCGCGGTCCGCAGCGCGGTAAGTCGTAAGTCATGTGTTGGCCCCAGTGTTTTTCAATGTCTTTTCCATCAGCGGTCGAGATCCGAAAGAATCTCAAAGATTTCAAGATCTACTATAGCAGTAGTATGCAGTAGTAAGGACCTCATATCAGCCTAGATGATTCCTCTCTGTTCCACTGGCTCCCCTCATTGACCCAAATGGATCCTCCCTGGGTCCGGCATACGTTCGATTCGACGGTCGATACGATCGGTGAGAGGCTCTCAACACCTATGGCATCGGCATATGGTTTTCCTTACGCGAACCAGTCATATGACAAGCCTCCAGGTGGTCACCACTAAACTGCTCAGGTGACAAGTACAACAAAGAATTAATATATATATATATAATATATAGTATATTATTATATATATATTATATATATAAGTATATATATAATATATAGTTATATATATATCATTGAGGCTCCCATCTTATCCCATCTTGCTGGATTGGGGTATCTTTGGATACGAGCTGCGAACGGGTGTGACATGGTGTGACTGTTGCACGACCAGGGTTTACAGCTACCCTCCAGCGAAATGTTTTATAGTGAAACTTGGCCCCACCACCACCACCAGCCCCTAAGCATGGAGCATGCTGAGCATGAGTACCCAACCCTCTAAAGAGTCGGGCGGGTCGGGCTCTTCTCAACAGGAAACAACGCTTCGGGGGAGCAACGACCACTGATGCAATCGGAGGCTTGGAGGTCTTGACACTCAATCGGATGTGCTGAGTGGGACGACCACGTTCGATCCGCCCGAGGCCCCAACGCTGTACTTGGAGATCACATTCCTGACCGCGCGCGCCACCACGCGCTCCACTTAGAAGTCTGAAAGTGGCTCGGGAATCGAAGAAGCGACTATACCCTCACCGCCGAGCCAGTGAAAGGTGAAACGGTTTGATTGGGTCTGTTGAAGCCTCACACCTGTCGAGGGCAAAGTCGAAGTGCTGTACCCTGTGCTGTGCCAACAATGGGTGAACCGATTTTGAAATGATTTTTCCCCCCAAAGGGGTGAGTGAAAATCTAAGCCGCACCCTTTGTTGAAGAGAAGTGGAATATGGACCGCTAGAAACACTGGATGGTAATATGTTCTGCAAACTGGCTCTGTTGCACTTTCACGAATGTTGCTGTTACTTTATGTAGAAAACAACATATTCCTCAACCTGCGCAACACCTCTGCCCATATCCGATCCTCTGATGCTTGGTTCCCTTCTCCTTGCCATGGGTAGGGTGGCAAGGGTGGTTGAAATGGCTGCAAAAAGCGCTTCAAACAAAACTCAAAAGCTTGACTCTAAAGTGAACTTCAATGATTCTCCCACCCACTTCAAATTCCTTCCTCATAAAGAACCATAAAAATCAAATCGACACCCATAAACGCTCCGGCAAGGTGCTCATAGCGCCAAAGCTCTGACAGGGCGATGACCACAAGGATCTGCAGCCACCCCACGATGGGCACCTGGAGACGGCTCCAAGAGTCCTTCGAGACGTCGCCGAGAACGAAGCTGTGTGGAGACTCGTTTTTGGGTGACCATGCCAAGCGTGTGATTGAAAACCCTGCATGGGGGAGCAACAGTAAAAAAACAGTAGCCTATCACATGCACTTGCACGACTGTGAGTACTTGGAGCTCGGCCGAAGACCATCACAAGCCACTTCTTTGGTTGGCCCTTCCATTGCATACTGTCCAACCAGTCATGGGTATCGCACAGTAGGTGGTGAAGAGCGTAAAACTCCACCAAAGGTCTGCAGAAAAACAACAACCATGACATACATGTAGCATCTGATGACTTGTATTGATTTGTCTATTCCTGGAGGTCTTTATTTTGTTTGAAATCATCTTAACATGTTCCTCATCGAAGTGCTCCGCCCTCATCAGCCTTCAGGCGCACCTGGGTGGCCGCCTTCAGAGGGTCTGAAGAGTCGGTCGGATAGCGGGTGATGAAGGGCTCGAACCTGGGGGCGCCAGCGGAACCGGTCAACGGTGCCGACGGTCTCGACCTTTTTGGGAGAAAGGGGGGTAAGAGAGGACCAGCGTTTGACATATGAAGGAGATGGAAAGCACCAGCCAAAACACTCCATGTATGGAATAGATATTGCATGATATTGCACACACTTCTACACACCTGTAACCACAGCGATGTAGGTAAATGTGCCATGTATGGAGCGTGGCAGATGTGGAGGATCTTGGATGGTTTTTAAATGTTTTTAAGATTTGGAATCCTGTACCAGTTCACCGTGGACATGATTCAAAATATATTTACGACTGTCGATTTGTAGGACCGATTGGTGCCACATTGGTACCACATCTGTTTCCGGTCATGGTCTTCTTCTGAACCATCCCCAAAGCAATGAGTATCGCGGTGCTGCGCCGAATTGGAATCATTTTGAACCCAATTCTGGCCTCAACTTCGGTCTTCTCAGATACACCAGGTGATGTGTTTCTTTCCATAAAGTGTTTTGCGTTTGTTCGGGTAGCCAAAATGTTTGCGTCGGCGCTTTCGACTCCTTTGACTGAGACAAGTTTTCCGTCTCGAGGCTCAGCTGGGCCCAAGAGATGGAGGAAACGAGCTGTCAAAACGGAGGAAATGAGACGTGTTAAAACAATTATGAACGCATCAACCACCTAGGAACATACAATTCAATCTTTGTTACTGACTTGTACCAAAAGTTGCTGCTTGTCATGGGGTCTTTGTTAACTGGGGCCGTGGCTGCCTGACACTCAAAACTTCATGGGGCCAGGGGCCACTGAGCAAAAAAAATGTAAAGCTATCAGTTGCCTAATATCTTGGAGAAAAAACGCAATCCTTAGTAGAGGAACTTCGCTGGTTCACGTCATTTTCCCGGAATGCGCTGCGTACCCGAACTGGGAGTCATCAAAAGATCACTCCGCCAAGTGCCCACTGCGGGTGGTTCATCAAAAAAATCATCTAAAGAGCTGAGCAAGAACAAAAACCCCAGGTTGATTTGGTCTACGCTATCTCGAATCTACGCTATTCCATGCTGGCCGCCTCTTGTGGCTCCCACTTGCGGCTCCGAGGCCCAATCCCAATGCCTAGAACCAAGCCACCCTTCTCAAGAAGTAGGCTCAGAGCTAGTGCTGTTGCTGTTTGCCGTGCTGCTGCCGCCGCTCTGTTCCGCTCTTTGGCGCGAAGCACCATGCCAACGAATTTCCGAAAGTACGCCGGGCAAGAAGGTATTCGTGGGACCCTGCAGCACCAGAACGCAGGCTCCAAAGCGCCCACGGCCATACATATCTGGCACAAGCACCCTGCAGCGCAGGCTCGAAAGTGCACACGACCGTGCACATCTGGCAGCGGCACCCTGCAGCGCACCAGCACCCAGGCTCCAAAGCGCACACAGGACCTCTTCCTACACTTGAAGCAAGAGCGCCAAGTGCTCTTGCTATCTGGGAAAAAAGAGAGAGTGGGAAGCACTGTTCTGGGGTGCTGTGGGAATCGTGTAGGCCGTGTAGGCAAGTGTTGGGAAATGGACGTGTGAGGTATCGTTCCGGGTCTCGTTCCGGTATCGTTCCCGTATCGTTCCAGACGCGGGTTTAAGAATGGGAAAATGCCACTACCAGCAAGTACAAACATGACAAACATGATATGGAAACGCCACCTAGAGCACAAAAGGATTGAGCGACGTCTTTTTGCCCCGACATTGGCTGTGTCCCTCTGTAAGCTACAGTTTGGGAACCCTGAACGTGCCATCTTATACATACTTGTTGAAGGGAGTGGTATGGTTCCAGGGTATCGTTCCTGGCAAGATTGATGCACATGTATACCTAATAACAAACTCCGACAAGATCGTAAAGCCGTGCGGGCCGTCTGTAAAGACTGCTTCAGCAAAAAGTTAGGGTAAGTCACAGACTAAACACAATTGCGCGGGGTTTATATCATTGCTCAGGTGGTCCTAGTATGTCCTAATCAAGGGATATGCTGAACACAATGGTGACCTTCATCCCGGACTTGAAGTCGGAGTGGTGTAAAGCATGAGGGCTCTGGACCCTGATGATCTGTAGACTCATCAAGAAAGCACCCAGCATATCAGATCCCAACTAAACTCACAGCCCTTTCCTGGAAGGCTGAAATGATTCCCTTCTTGCTCCAAGAGAAGAAGCTGTTCAACTCCACGTACCTAAGTCTTGTTTTGAGGACCTAAGATATCGGACCTGAACTACAAGTCCACTCGGGGCTCCCTGCTTAGCGCCGGAGGTCTGCACGGTGTAGCCCAAAGTCTCAGGTTGAAAGTCCGCGCTTGGGTGGCTTCACAGACAGCGCCAGAGGTTTGGCCCAACAGCACTTTGGGGAGTTCCACATCTATGACGATGAACACGCGAGGTTTGGTCATGGACTGCACAGCAATTGTGCTTGCCAAAACACAGGGAACAATTCACCCATCGTGATTCACAAAATCCTCATCTACCATCATCCATACAGGAACCTGTTCAACGCTGCAGTATCAGGTCCAGTGGGTCGTGCTGAGCTGTTACACAAAGGCAAAGGCTGAAATGCGCAAAGAATGGTTGGGGTTGGAGCAAACTTGAGTTTAGTTTTAGAATCAATCGCGAGTATGGTGACATGAAAAGGGAAAAATAAGGTGCCTAAGATTGCCTAAGCAAGTCATAAGTTTTGCGACAGTTCATAGCATCATAGTTGAAACATATCACTTCCCAACCAATGATTAAACATATCAAAGGTAGAGGTGACCTTCTGGGAAATTTGTGAAAAACAGACTGGAAGGCTGCACTCTTCCGGGACCTCGGAATTTCCCCTGCTTCACTCGAATGATCAAAATGGGCTGACTTTTGCGATGCCTTACAAGTTGGCTGACGCCATACAAGCCATACAAGTTTCGAGGCCTGTTGATGTTGACGCTTCCAATTATCGTCGACCGGTTGTGCGACTGCTAGTGCTCGTGCTGAAACCGTGTTGCGTCCCTCATCATCCCACTGTTTGATGATGGTTCCGACCAAAACCATATCGATCAAAGCAGCCAAGTTCATCTAGAAAACGGGCAAAGGGATTCAACGTTCCTCATCCATCAGCCTGCTCATGGCAGAGTCAACATGAGCCTCAGAAGGAACCATGCGCAACTTTCATGGACCTCAAGACTGAGCAGGCGTTCCACAAGAGTTCAGACCCCTAGGCTGGGCTGGAATGATGTCCAAACTCCAAACTTCAAATCTTCGAAGCACTTGTCCCTTCTGGTAAAGATCGGCCCTGTAGCTGACCAACGGTCATGGTCTTGAATTTCTGCTTCGCAGTATACAATTGTTCCGCGTAGTTAGAGCAGAAGATGTTCCCCAAGACATTGCATGCCAGCAGGTTTGCCAACGTTTTGGCACGCTATGGCACGCTCGATCTGGTTGGATAGCCCGACGTTAAGCAGATCCGTCTCTTTGACAAAATCATGGTTGGACAACAGCCCGGATGGCTCAATCTCAGTGCGTTCAACCACCCACCCCAATTTTATACAGGTACGTGATCAGCACATCCCTCTTTGTGTCAGTCTCGTCCGCCGTCGTGTCTTGGAAACAAGAAACTCTGTGGCTCCTTTGTTGTCAAGCCCTTGGCCGATGGGTACACCCTGCATTCCTCGGGAATGTCAGCCAAAATGCACCTGGAAAGGTCCCGCCATTGTCTTGACTTGATGTCTTGAATTCCGCCCGTTGATAGCTCGAAAATCAAACTGTTGTGCCGATATTGTGCATAAGCATGTACCAAAACGGCGACGGCGGTTCAATAATTTTACCAAATGTGAAGGTTATATCTATAGTTAATATAGTGTCAGTTTCTTAGTGAGCAAAAATGATCGAAACAGTCATTTTGATTTGCTGCGCACCTTTACAGTGTGGGCTAGAAACTCATGGTTGATCCGAAATCACGGTAAGAGATTGAGACCGCCACCAAGTCCAAATTGCACTTCCCAAGTCCTGAGCTAGTATGTTTAATCATGACGTGTGGAAGAGTTCCTTACATGTGCTCAGGCAATATCGCAATTCGGGTATTTTTGAACACCTTTCACACCCCTTGCTCCACCCTACAGAAGCCGATACTTAAAGAAAAGCACTTCCAAAAACAAGTTCGGGATGCCAAAACCAAGCTTTTGGGCGATACTTCTCCCAAATGCTAATAGAAAGCTGCACTGCACGTCCAAAGTACACGATTCACTGCAAGCACGCCAAAGACGACCACCGAGTCCAAAAGTGCTGCACCTGCCACAAAATTTACATTGAAGTTCAGCAAGCCGATCCCCTGCACCTGCCATGAAAAGTCGACTTCCAACCACCAAAGCACGAGGTGTCCCTTTCAGTCCGAAAATGTGCACAGTGCCACAACGAGAGCGCAGTCGAGGAAAGCACCCGCGCCAGCCAAAGAGTTTCTGCGCACTTGGAATATCTCCAGAGGCATCAATGTGCTGCAAATAGTAGCGAATTAAACGCGCGCGGATGCCAGTGCGAGCAACTTCGATCAAACCTAGCCCTGAGCAATTACCGTAAGAACCCTTCCAATGGTTCAGTTGTGCCTTGATCCTTACACCTCCAACCCCAGTACCCTCTCCTATATCCAACCGAGGATTTCCGTATAGTTCACTATATTTCCATCAACTGCAGGGCCTGAGCCTCCACACCGCCAACATGCAAACGCGCCCATGAGCCAATTCGGCCTCACGGTACCTGGCGCCGCTGAACCACAAGGGAGAGTGACTCGAGTGCTGACAATAGACCATCTCCGGAGAACAAAAGATATATTAAGTACTGTTGTTTGTTTTATGCTTTGACCCACCAAACTAGGGAATATGGTTGATACAGCACTGTGATCATTATGATGCAATCGCATGTGATCAGTACATATTTTAAAGTCCGATGACTGTGCTTTAGAGTTGAAACCTTTGAGATAGATCAAACAAATACGATAGATCGTGATGATGTTGTGGTTTATCAATCATGCCAGTCAGGCCATGGCAGCAAGCGAGTGTTCTTGGCCTTGGCTTGGCCAGGACTGGGGAGATCCTTAAGATGGGTAAAATATGATATAATCAGGAATGCTCAGAGACCCACTCCCTGATTCGAGGTCCATGTCACATGTCATGCAAAGCATGTGAATTTGTATTGGGGACCCTGGTGGTGAGTCTTCGTTTTGGGGTTTATTGTTAGACGTGGGTTGCTGCATTGATTGACACATAATCTCGCAATTCATTATGCAACAAGTGAGTGGCCCAACGGGATGTCCATTCAGTCAGCCGTAACCTCCTGAAACCAGTCCCTATATAGGTTGCACCACCACAACAACAACAACCACACCCATCCAGGCCAAAAAAACCTCCAGGAAGAAAGTGAAGACAAGTGACAAGTGTATTGTTTTTTGAGGGAGTCTCTCAAGGGTTCTTTTGCTCTAACTCTAACCATCTCAAACCTTCCGCCACTCCAGTGGCGGTGTTCGCGCGCGCGGCCGCGCGCGCGTGTCCTTTCGGTGTCCATCCGAGCTGCGAAGCCCGCTGGGTCGAAGCCCACATCGCCCACGTAGGGGCCGAAGAGATCATTGGAGAGCCCCTGACGCAGTGGGGAACAGTTTTTTCAGGAACAGCTGGAAGTGCTGAGTCAGTGCTGAGGTCACCACACGGCACGCATGAGCGGGGAGTTCTGGGTTTCCGTAAGACTCGGTTTCCAGCAGTGGCTTGGTGAGCAGTCTTCTGACTTCAAAAGGCCGGCCTTTATTTGGGCCGCCTGTTCTAGTCGACCATACTGCACGACATTACAGCGCTTTTTGGGCATTGGATGGTGTGGGAGCGGCGGCTGTTCGATGCTTTTCGACGCTGGACAACGCTGCGACACCACGAAAGAGGTGAAGGCCGTCGGCAACCTCGCTGGAGCAGAAGATGGGCTATCAAACCCCTCCGGGAGAAAGAAACACTGGGACAGCCCAGCCCCCAAAAAACTCTTTATAGTTCACTCCTGAGCACTTTCAACTAGTTTGAGGCATTCATCCCTCTTTTGGGGGAAGTTTGTGAGTCTCAAAAGACGGATCCGGGCATGTCATGAGGACCAAAAGACCGCCAACAACCCCTCGCAGTGTGCCAACTTAAATGTGCAATCCGCCATCCCCTACAAAAGCCTGAAGAAACAATGCGTAACAGTATCAGCGGGCTGGTGTGTTCCTGACAGGGACTCCGGTACGCCCTGAGGCGATGTCGCTGTGATGTCGGAATGCCAAGCCTGCCAAAAACTTGCACAAGTGTCCAAATGTTTACTCAGTTCCCAGGAAAAGCGTCGCCCAGGAAATTGATGGGAAGCTCCCCCCTTGCGTGGCGCAGCCTCCCCACGCAGGACCTATGGGCCGAATGTTGCCGATGCCGTGACAGATCCTTCCAAGGACGTGGGCTCTAGTCTCTAGCCTTCGAAATCCGGCGGCTGTATTTAATAGCATAGTCAAGCTAGCTTGCTGTACCAGGGCGTAACCCATCTTCTGCATCACCAACTGCATCACCAATCCTCCAGGAAGAAGAAATCACACCAATAAGAGTTTGTTTCGGCCTCTGGAAGGCGTCTGTCGCTCGCCAGTTGCATAATCAAAGCTATATAATATATCAGCCTGATATCAGCCTTGAAATCATAAGCAACTTTGAGCTGCTTTCCGGAGGTCTGTGTTTGATCATTTTTGACAATTTGTTGGTCAAGGTTTACAAATAACAAAACCATCTCACATTTCAGTGTTTTGCAAAAACCATGCTTTTTGCATCCCACAGCAAAAAAAACACACGCCATAAATACTACATGTGTTGCTAGCTGAGGATCAAACACATCGATATGTCCAGTGCTTTGGGGTCCCTAATGCAAAAACAACTGGTCCATACTATCGTTCTTTTGTAGCGTTTATTCGCCTGCTTGCGCGCAAGAAGTACAAAAAAAGCGCGCAGGAAGGGGTCTTTTTTTGCACGGACTAACAACGACAGCGACGGCGACCCTTATGGCATCGCCGATCTGCGAAGCTGGGGGCTCAGGCTGCAAATCACATTAAGTAAATTAGATCGATGTAAACTCTCTTCCTCCAGAATTCTTCGTTTCGATCCATACAACCACCTTTGATGACATTTGGTTCCGCGTTCGCTGCAACGGAGCGAAGTTCCTTCACGACGGGCACAGCGTACAGAAAATTCCCTGCGCACACACATCCGTCAAGTATGTGATCATTCCTACTACTGTACGATCTTCATTCATAAACCCCTCCATATGAAGAGGTTCTTTCAATCCATGCCGAATGGGGGGGGGATTCTGCTCAAAATCCTTCCTCATCCTTGTGATCCTTCCCCGTTTGGCCGCTCGGATGACGTTAGCGTCATCCCGCCTGAGGGATGGGCTCCCATGGGATCGCCTCCGAGTTGTTTCCCGCCTTCCTCGGACGCGAGACGTTTCGCGACACGTCTCACAAGTCGGTGGTGCAGGTTTGTGTCGGACCAGCAGAGGAGGTTCCGTCCAAAACGTTCAATCAATCAAATGCTTATTGTGTCCAACCCTGTACCAAATATGTAATACAAGGTTTTGGACCTTGCTGACATGAACACCATGGGTTGTTGGTCGATTTGACCCTTTAGTATACAAATGTTTACGGGCTCATACTAGCCCAGGACCGAATGAGGCCATCGAAGATCAGGATCATAGAACGTGCCTCCAGCCCGCACATGAAAGCAAATATAATGTATACACATGCATCCTGCACATCATGCTACATATTTGTAAAAATGAAGAGTCTACATCACAAAATATCCTCAGTCAAAGAGTAGTTCCAAGAAGACCTGGGAGTTCGGACCCTACAAGCTGGGCTGGACCCGACCAAATGCATAGCAGAAGCCATGAACTTCACGGTAGGTCTACTTGGACTGGAAAAAAACAAACATAATAAAAACAACATGATAAAACCCTTTGGCCCGTTGTCACCCTGGGCTGATGGGCCTCTTGTGGCTGCTTGGCATTACAAAGAGTGTTGAAACCAACTGGACTGTCTTGATACCACTTCCAAGGTGCAACGGAACATGAAGGAGCACTTGCCCTGTCTTTTGCAAAGGAGCCTGTCGGTAAACCCAATCAATCAACATTGGCCCTGTGCCATGAGCAGGTATCCGGATGTATCTAAGGACCCTCGCGTGATGCGTTCGCTGTGCATGTCAGGCATCCTGCCGAACCGAAATGAACATTTCTGAGCTCGGAACCCACTGAAGAAGAAGTCCGATTGGGCGTGCCTGCCAAGGGAAGTATGTCACTGCCCCCTGCCCAGTTGATGTCACAGCAATACAACATCGCTCCGTTTTTGTCAAAACATATTTCAAATTTCAAAAACATATATAGTCCAACTGGGAATTTTGGTGCCTTCTTGGATATAAAAGGTGGGAAGAACTCCACAGTCTAGTCACCTTACTTTAGCTATACTTCATAGGAAACAGGCGGTGAAGCTATTTAAAATAATGGCGAAACTGTTGGTTCCTGTCAAAGGTTCGACTTTCTCCTTTGGTGGGATTTACCTGATTGGTACCATGGGATACCCAGGAAGGGCCCTGACTAAGCTCATGCCATCATTTTCTGATTTGGGGACTAAACCCATAAGAAGGCAAGGAGCACTAGCTAGCAATACACGCTGGTCTACTGGGTGGTCTAATGTTTACAGCTACGCAGCCGCAGCCCTATCTGAAACAAAAATGTAAATGATATCTAGAACTATTTTTGTATACACTGTATCATGTTGTCTTTAGGCGCCATGTGATTCAAATGTCCGCCTTCGCCGACACCCAAAAAGGCCCCCAAATACGACTCCAAGCACCCCGGACTCCCGGCCAATCGCCGCTAATCGCCGCTAATCGAAAGTCCCACAGCTTCAGCGCGGAGACTTCGTGCGCACCACCCGAGTCAGCGGGTGGTTCTTGGATGGAACATCCATGGTCAGTCTATTTTCACCACCCTGATAGGAATATGGGTCTATCATGGTCTATCTATAGCACTGCGTTGCGGTTTTGTTGGTGGGTGCAGACCTGTGAAAGACCTGCTCCAGACCTGGTATGATGGGTAGGATATGGTGAATCCGATCTGACACCTGTGGATCCCTTGGATCCTGCCGCCAGGCCACATGCTCATTCGATCAGTGCGCTCCTGGCGATTTCAGGCAATTGTTTTGGCAAAGATAGGGTTCCTGTAAAATTGTTCGTGGCGCGTGGGGAGTTGTAGATATTTTGACATCTCAAACCTGATGGACACAGGCAGGGATCCACGACTTGTCACTGGTTCATTATCATCCATTTAGTTCTCCTTGACGTAAAACGTACCTTCACCTTGGGGGCCCAGATTCGGCTAGATCTGGAAGATGACGTGTTCCATGCAGGGACCTTCTCGTCTCAACTGGTTGAACTCACGTGAAGCTCCGGTTAGTTTATGGGAGTCGTCTGGTGCAGTCGGGTTCTTGCCGGCTGCCTTAGCAGGCGGCGGCATGGTACAGTATCTGATCCAAAGGAGCCCGAGAAAGGTGCCTTGGACCGTCTCATTTCTTGGATGGTGGATGAGCCTGAATTTCTATGGAGGGCTTCAACAAATACGCGCACGGTAGGGTTTCCAAGGCTATTCCTCAAGAAAATGCAGCATTGTTCCGCCTCTGTGTGATCAAATAATCGAACTCGCCAAAGTTAGCCGTCTTCATGTTCATCCTCGGAGGGAACTTCCAAGTTCTTCTCTAAAGGTCGTGGAGCTGAAATCCTTTTAGAAAAGGAAATGACTGCATGTTGGGTCGCAAAGCCCGACAACCTTATCCCAAGACTGACGTCTTTATGCATCAAATCAGTTCACCTCCGCTGCAGGACCAACTCTCAGCGCCTTGGGACTGACGATCGCCCAACGCTTCCAAACCATTTGGACATGGTTGCATGTTTTGTTCATTGATGGGTTGGGAAAATACCCAACTCATGGAGTCAACCATATGTGTTTGCACGTGGCGAAAATTGGCCATGTGCTGAACTCCCCAAACCAGGAGGTATTATTTTTGAACTTTCACCCAGCATCACTGCTAACTGGGTCAAAATTGACACCGGCCTGTGATGATTCCTTTCAAACACTTTGTAGCTACTCCCGCTTCATCCCGCTGCTATCTACTTAGGAAATGGAGCTTTTTCTCTGTCGTCCCCAGGAATCCGACTGGAGGCGATTGGATTTTTGGTGCGTTGGTGCTTGATGAGCATGGGTCTCCGTCAGTGTGGTCACTCATGGGGCGAGTAAGAGCAGCTGCAGTTTCTACCAGCGGTGATGGAGGAAATCCAACTCTCAGAAACACCAAACATCACCAAACTATAATCAAACGAATGAGGTCTCTTGCAATATCCATGTGCAGTCCCCTCAAAAAGATATTGTTTTGTTTTTGTTCTAACAGCCCACCCTCAAGAGAAGTCAGAGCCTATCCGCCAGCCGTGAATCAGTCCTTCTGCGCATAGCCGCCGATGAATGGGTTCAGGTTGCCTGATCAAATGATAACACGGCGGAATTGTGGATCAACCTATCCTAGATCTGTAGGAGTTTCTTGCCACTATGAAGACCCATCTGCATGCAGAACAGTTCATTTCGCGGCCAAGGCCTAGGCCAACAAACCAATCCTCCAACAAGAAAATACTTGGAAGCGGAAGCGGGTGGATGAGAGAAGAGCATTAAACAACATGTTCGCACACACTCTGATGGCTCCGCGGAACTCTCGGTGTGAACTGGTCCTGTGGTGAACTGCTCCACCAAGGACTGCCCGGTGGCGCCGTTCTGCGCCACAATGGCTGCCATGGCCACCATGGCCTCGGAGCACGAGCGACAGATCGGACCAACAAGCGAAGGGAAACGCGAAAGGGATCGGTGCCTGGTTCGAATCCCGATGTTCATTGGGATTGGTGGGTTAATTTGAACTTGGTTTCAAGCATGTTTGGCGAAATCTACCATGGAGCTTGTCTTTGCTGATCATGAACTTGGACGATCACCTGCACCACGCCAAAGGCCAAAGGGATGTGGGTTGAGGCTAAAGAACTACTGCCAATGGACCTCCTCCAGCATGTGCCAGCGATGGCGATCTGATTGTTCCAGTGCCGAAGACACAACGGGACGGACTAAAACCTCGCTGCCAAAAGCAAAAGTGAAGGCAACTGTTTCGACATGTTTGGACATGGTTTGGACCCTTCTGATCCATTTGAAGCGAAGAGTGGGAGTCCCGGAGTGACGTTTTTCAAAAAACATGTTCTAGTATGTTCTAGTTTGGATGGCACAATCAAACCCAAGCGACAACAAACAGAAACAGTCAGAAACCACGGTCACCGATTTCAATGACTGGTCCCCAGCGCGAAGCAAATGTCTTGCCCGAAAGGTATCTGGATCTCGGAAGATATAGGCTTGTCAAACACAATTCAAGGAGGGTCTTTCAGCCATCAAACTTCATCGTGTATATATATATTATATCAATGAAAGAAAACTATGTTGCCCTGCCCTGACCAAAACGATAACTATATAACGCCTCCCATTCCTCACTTGAACCATGTCGTTGGACGTTGGACACCGTGTCGTTGGGCCCGCACCAAACGGCCATTGTTGATCTCAGCCAGAAGCTTCTTCTGCTTCTCCTCTTCAGGTCGGGCAGAAAACCACTAGCATTCACAGCCAAAATCCTTGAGAGACTGATCAGGGTACCTAGGTTTATCTTTCACAATGTTCTGCAAGAACCTGTACACTTACAATAAACCCCATTAATCGCATTATGCTTCCTTCGTGATCTGAACAGTCACCGATCCGTATGAAGATTTGCATCAACCTCAACTCAAGCCTCGATCACCAGTGAAATGACATGAAATGAGGCACCCCATATGACTCACCATCGAGACCTCGATCAAAAATCCATTTCACTGGGATTTCTCGTGAACATCGTTAAACAAGGTTAACCCTCCCTTACAAATGGCTGAGACAGCCAACATTCTATTGAAGGGCATGTGAATGGGAACTTCGAGCGTGCGACTTTCCATCCTCTGGCTCCAGCTTGTCGATCTGCCCCCAGAATGGTGGGTAGCCGTAGTTCGTGGGGAAAGCCAAGTTCTTCGCCTCGCAAAGAACGAGCTTAGGGGGGAGCGATTCAATTTGTTTGGATGAATGATGGAATGATCTCCAGTGAGGTTTCCTTATGGACTTTGAAGCCAAGTACACAAACTGCTACTTCAAATGGCATCATGGAGCCAGGATCAACACGACATGGTGTTCGCATGTTTGAGTCTTCAATGTAAGTTCCACTAACAGGTATGCGGCTTGGTAGTTCTTCCAAAAGCTGGACCGAGAGGGACTGCCAGTGCAAACCACTGGTTTGTTGGAAAAAAAACATGGTCCAACTTAAGCTTCGAGGTGTCCATGAAATATCCGCTCCATGTTGAGCTTGGGAGGTTCTCAAACACTGTTTGATAAGGGGTTGTTTTGAGGCCGGACCGGGCTTCGATTCTTTAACAAACCTAGGACGGACCTGTGGGTCGTCGCCTCTTGGCGTCGAAGATCTTCGCAAGTCATTGGGAGAAAAAAGAAACTGTATACTATACATATATAAAGTTATTTATATAATTATTGTATTGTGTTCACTGACAAACGCAAACAAAGCAGCATTCATAAACAACATCACCCTTCTAGCCAACCCAACAAGCATCACGTCCCATCATTTCACCATAATTTTCCACACATCTTCTAGTAGTATAGTAGTGTGTCTACAATGCTCTATAATCTGTACATACAATATCACATATTTCATACATGGTCTACAAACTGTATATATATACTGTATATTATATAAATTTCATCATGTATACATGATCTATATACACGTCACAGCATCATCTGTTCATCCGTATCTTAATCTCTTGAAAAGTAGAACAAGCATGATTTCACATGAACATGCAACTTCCAAGCGACTCTCTGACTTTTTGGAGCTCAAGAGCCCTCTTGGCCGAGCCCGATGGTCTCGAGGCCTCTTAGGTACTCTTGGTCTTTACTTCCGGCCTCGATGGCGCCCGCCAGGGCAAAAACCTGGAGCCATCCGGCCGCCGGGACCTTGTAAATGGCCTGGAGAGCGTCCGACTGGGACAAGTCGGACTTGCTGAGCTGGTTTTGGAAGCAGAGCGGAGATCGGTTCTTGTTTTCCAGAACCAGCAAACCCTTTGAGAGATCTTCTGAAGATCTTATTGGGGTGGCTTAGCACAAAAATGCTTCATGTGTCACAGCACGAACGCCAACTCTCTTGGCCCCTTGCGGATAAAATTTAAGGAGTCGTGCAACAGCCAAATGCCATCAAATGCCAAGGTTTTACGGACCAACTCACAAGCTAATGAGCTGCTAATGCTTCAAGAATTGCCTTCATCCTCGACTTTGACTCAGTTCACCCACCTCGATGGTGCAGGGGATATCGGAGAACTTCCTGAGAGACAGCGCCGGTGTCCACAGGTGTTGACGTCGACGACTGGTCCAGTTTCGCGTCTGAGTGGCCAACCAGTCGCAACCCATTTCGTCAGACGTCGCAGCCGTGGTTCGACTGTGAACGGATGGACCCGCCCTGGATGAAAAGGTCGCCGAAGCCCAAGGATCCCAAGGGGCCAATGTGGGACCAATATGGGTAAAGGCTGGCAGCAAAAAAATATCACGTTGAACTCTCAGCCCGTGTGCATGACCCAAATGGCCCACATATTTGGGATGGTTGCAAATCAGCATGTCCGCTGAGTTATTGTTCTGGCAAGAATTTCCATGAAACCATTCCCATTTGATGGCGTCAAAGATTTATGTCAAGGTGCAAAAACTGCAAAACCTATTCTCAAGAGCTCTCAAACTATTGTTGCATACAAATTTGATCAACATTGTATTTATATATATATGTATTGGATTTGTTTTCATTTATATATAGATATTCACAAAAGTCTCCGGGGCTGTTTCCCAGAATCCTTCTTTAAATTGTAGGGTAGTCACCGGAACCGTGTAGGGTAGCCCAAAAAGGAACCGTATTCACCTCTAAATCCCCCGGACCGCTTGTTGCTCGGTCGTCGCTGATCCCACAACGCCTGCGGATCCCCTGATCCCCGCGCTGCTGAGGCAAAAACACAACGACTGGTGGCACTCCGTGACACCGTGGCGTAGCAAAATCCCGGGTGACAGGTACATGGCCACAATTCAATTCCCAGGTTTATCACTTGCAAAACGTCTATGCATGACAGCACGTCCTTTCCGCCTTTTCTCCTTCTGGCGGCCAAGGGTCAGGCCCATGGAGGGCGACAGGTCTCCTCCGAAGCGGCCAAAGAGGTCAGGCACGATCATTCCAATGGTGGCCACCATGCCTGGACCGGGTCGACCGGTCGACCGGGGGCGAAAGGAACTAAAAAACGAACACCCAAACGCCGAACGGGGCGGAACGGGGCGGAACCAACAGAGGTTGAAGAACCCTATAGCCATCTTTCGCCTATACACTATAGGGTGGTTGATCAATATTCTTTCATCCTGGAATGGCCATTCATCGCGAAAAAAAAAGATATCTTTCGCGGATCTTTCGCGGCCTCATCACGAAGCATGGTCCTACAACCATGTCTAGCTAACATGAGCCGGAACATGTCATAGTCATAGTTCACAAAATAGGGAGAGACATCTTGCAGCATGACCCAAGTAGATGGTTGAACGTTTCCACAGCTACTCAGGGTCACTTGCAGCATCTTTGCGACAAGTGTGCCAAGTAGAGTCATGCACAACTCAACCCAATCCTCGTGCCAGCTACCAACACAGGGTGATGCAGCTTGGGGAATGTTGGGGGGCCTCAAGCTGGGAACCTAGACTTAGCGGCACATTCGCAAAACTTCCGCGGATCTTTCGCACAAATTTCACTGGTGCTTTCCCCGGGAAGCCGTAACATTTGCAAACACCCGCACAGCCCGTCAGAGCAGCTGCAGGTCGTTGCCTCACTGTCAGGGCTGTGCCTACCCAGATTGCTAGTCTGTGACAGTGGGGACAGGAATCGGAGAATCCTTTACGCACTGCCAGGGCTGGGCACGGAAATGTTGAGGCTTCAGTTCGTTAGTCTGTGACATATGGAGACACTTCCGCCCACTGGCTCTGCCGGAGGATTGCCTTGCGTTTCTATTCTTTGTCAGTCCGGCAGAAAGGAAAACAATGAAAACGATGACCTTCGATAAATCTTTCGCGGAAAAAAACAAGATACTTTCGCGAACCTCATCGCGAATCTTTTGCGGATGATTCTAACTTTAACAAAATCTGAAAGACTGTTTTATATAAAACTCCTTATATACACTGGGTTTTCGATCAACTCCCATATAGACTATCCCATACTATCCCATAGGTACCCCAGTAGGGTCCTATAAGGTCACTTAACCTCTCTTGGAAAATGATGAAAACCCAGCAAAGAGGAGACCCCAGTTACTCGGCGACGGTCCGCCGAGAAAAACTGTCTGCCCCAAAGCGCAAAACTGTACACAGTACACACCATGAAGGTTTATCTTGGCCCATTGACAAAAATCATAGACAACACAAAAAGTTTCAGTATTAATTACTGAGCCACCGATATCATGGCGCTTTTTAATGATCTTCCCAAGAACAAACTTTGGGAAGACCAGCTGACCAGCTAACATTTGTCCACGGTAGATCTCCATTGGCCCACTTCCAACTGTAGATCGAAGTTCCTACATAGCTGCCTTTTCTCATGCCTGATCACCTCTTCTAAACCATCCGCCTGAACCAAAACGCCTGAACCATCACACAAAACGCCCGTGCGTCTCGCCGGTGCTTCTCCGCTGAGCGGCAAATTCGACCGTGCTTCAACTCCAGCTCACGGTTCCTGCGGAACTTCTCCTCGTCCTCGGAAAAGGAAGACAAGTTGTTGGAGGCCCCTTCAAATGAGGGCCTTCACATGTGCAGTTTGGTATGAGTTTTGTTTGATATCTTGGTCACCAAATGTGTTAAATCTGTCTGAATGTCTGCAAAAAAAAATAACCAACAAATAAAATCTAGCACATCTTCAATCTCACCAACTGGACGTCCATCGTTTTGAGGTCACTATATGTCACACACACATCTTATTGAACCTAAAGCATTGGGTGTCATATAATCATATACATACATTGACATGTGTTTACAACAATTTACCCTATTCATTCTATTCGAAGGAGGAGTTTTTGAAGAACCGTACTGTATATAATAGATATATTACTTATGTTTGCATATCCCAGCGGTCCGGTATGTCAGCTTTGGCGGTTTCACCCTCTCCCGATTCATCTTCAAGACCCCTCAAATATGACTTGATCGTCTACCCTCAAAATCAGCATCCATCCCTCGGACTTCGGGTCGTGTGATTCCACTGGAGCACCGGGGGTGTCCCAAAGGGAGATGGGCACATCTGTTGGAGGAACAAACCCTCCCCCTCCAAGAAACATGGAAGTGGGACAACATGGCACAACCCCTGGTTGCTAAAGGAACATCGATGGTCTTTCCAGGGTCCAGTCTAGGTCTATACCATCCATTTCATTCCATTTCCATGATTGCGTGGCCAGTGCCTGTAGGTCATTTTACGGACCAAGAATACCAACAGCACGCTGGCCGTGGCTGGCCGTGGGCCTGTGCCCCGCGGCGCGATCTACACCAGGATAGGTGGCAAAGAGAAACTTCTTGACCCGCCGCCATGGCCAATGCGGCAAATGCACACCAAAATGGTATCCAAATGTCTCAAAGGAATACGATGAACGATCGTACCACTGGTTTTGGCGAGCCAACCCATAGGCTATTTCTGAAGCGTTCTGAACTGCAGTGTACCGGCCTGGAAGGCCATCATGCCAAAGGGATCCCAGTAGCCCAAGGGAGGGCATGCACCCAGCTCCTGCGCAGCGTCTGGGGCACTTGGGCGGCTCCGAACCCCCCAGTGGCGGGGCAAATAGACCAAGAAGATGAGAGAACAAAAAGAACTAGGCTGCTTCTATACATAGCGGCCAAACATGTGCGCACATGTATCTATCAAGCGCCAAAAAGATTGGGGAGTCAGGTCAGGTGTGCTTAAGCACATCCTTGGAAATTCCTGTCAGCAACGAAAACAACCTTCCCAAGTCCGTGAAGGTTCAGGGATTCAGCTTCCTGCGTTGAAGCGTGGTGGAACCCGATCCAACCACTGAGTGGATTCTTTCCAACCCATTCTTTACCCAAACCATCATCCACGTATGGAAGAGCTATATATATTTACACCATATAACTGATTATTCCATACATGGATGGTCCGTGATATATCATTGTCCATCTGCTTGCTATCCAAGTGAACAAATTGTTTGAAGCCATACAAATATCGAGTCAAAGATAAATGTCCACGGCCGTGACTTTGGTTCAGTAAGTTCATCAACCAGATTGAAGAACTGATCCGAGGGGATGACTTTTCCACCAAGTATCGGAACATGTTGCCATTTGCGTCTTTGGAACACCCGCAGGCTCATCTCAAGCTGACTTCCTTCCACGGTCCAGTTCAGCCAATTCCGGGTTAGGATCCTAGTAACAGTTCTCTTCAGTTGCCATAAGGGCCTTCGCTACGAACGGCATCGCTACGGGGACGCTACCGGCATCGCCAGTAGCGCGCTTCGTCACCCGACCCAAGGGCCACGGCTGAGCGGACCTTGGAGGCATCGAACGCAAAGAAGCCCTGGCCTAGCGGAAAAAGGCTCGAGTGACCGCCCCCGGCATGGAAGCCGAAGGGGTCGATGGGAGTGTGACTATGTGGACACCTGTGGAACAAATGGGATGGACACCACATGGAAGGGGTGGGGGAGCTGCGAGCACAAACACTGAACACCTGACATCTGATCAGGGCTTAACTTCATTTCTAGGCTGGATCTTCTGCAACAACATACCACCAACTAGCATACAGTAACTATAGGAGTCACTAAGTGCTTTCTTTTGGCAATGATTGGTGTGGGTGACCATGAGATCCGGAGATCTCCCTGTTCACTTGACGATTCGTTCGCTGTTCGCTTCAAAATTGCGACGCTGTTCATTTGCGTGAGTATTTCACCCTCCTTTTTACTGCAGCTATCCTGAACATGGACTGTGGGACTGGGACTTTGAGGAACGATATTGCTGTATATTGCTGTATCCAAGCTAGTATCTGATCCTTTGCTTGGCCAAGCAATGCAAAACACTTGATATATATAATAGTAATGGCTATATATATATTACATACCGTATACATCATTGGATTTCATGATGTGTTGGGAAAGGACATAGAAGAATATCTGTTCAATACTGTTCACATCAATCAAGCACAGCGTCTGGTCTGTCACTTGTCAGCGTCACCAAACAAAGAAAGCACCACGCACCAAAAGAAAGCGTCTGCCCAAGTGGCCATCATTGAAGGGCGAGATGTGGCCGCTGGTGAGCTGCTCCACGGGCGATTGTCCGGTGAGACCATTCCTGCTGTGGCTTTTTAGCCACGTGCGACAACGAACGCATATCACGCACCGCAGGTTGCACAACGTCAGTGAGTCAGGGCACATCGATGAATGTTACAGTAGTTGGAACTTGAATAATACTCTTCAGTCTTAGTCTGTCTGTTGCGGAGTCTGCAGCTTAGGTTTGGGGTCAGGAAGCAACTCTCCGGGTCTCCCGCGACATCAAGGCATCAACCAATAATATATTGATGTTCATCACACAAGAAGTCGGTATAGAGACGTGATCAGTACCCACAAGAATCGGACTGTGATCAGTTCACATACACGGATCAACTCCAGTACTGTGATCAGTTCATAGTACATTTGGTGTCAACTCTTTCAATGGTGGAGGGCTACAATAGATCGTTCTTGTCCAGGCTTTCAAAAGCCTCTACAAGCAACGCACGGAGCTTCTCGTAGATGTCAAAGCTTAACGGTCTGGCTACAATCATATCAAACCCTACGGAAGAGGATCCAATTCATCTCCAATGAAACAAAAGCATGATTATATAAATAGTAAATCAATAGCAGTTGGCTCGTCTGTTGGCTCCAAGCACCCCGACTGGATCAGCATGGCCGTCATGGCCACCATCGCCAAGCGCCCGTTGTTCAGCTCCGTGGTGAGCTTCAAGCGGCGCTCCGCAGGGTCCTCGCCGCGACGACCGGAGTCCGAGGGTGAAGCGTGACGGGTTCATGCCATCACTGGTATGTGAGAAAGGTCCTTTCATGGGAAAACCCAACGGTTCCATGAAACACATTATAGGACATAGGTCTATCACCAGTCTTTGCAGGCGGATGCGGCATACATATGGCATACATATGTACATACAACATATGTGAACGGATGGAAAGGTGTGCCCTGGCCCCGTTCTAGCTCTTAGGTCAACATGAAGCTCGCGCGCTAAAGCTCCTTTTTACCTGGTTGGGCACTTGAGCCAAAAGTATATGGCATGTACCTGTATAGCGACTATACTGGGACCCCATCCCTATTGACACCCCCCACATCCGTACTTCGACGGGGAAGGGAGATGAGTGGATGTAAAAACCGGAGAACGAATCACGTTCTCAAAAGTGTATTGGAGGTCAACCAGTATGTCCTATTGAATTGAATTAGCAAAAAATCTTGCATTCGCTTGAAAGTTGGATCAGACAGGCAATGGAGCTACAAGCGGAAAACGTGCACCTACCTATGGTATCATGCGATTACCAACGGTGTGAGACACAATCCTATCTCACTCCCATGATGCCAAAACGGTCATCATGAATTACCCGAGATCCCTCAGTACTTGAAGTACCGGAAGTGGCATGTCGGTATGACCCCAATGCTCAACCATTCGTGAGTTGTCGCATGTAGTCAGCGCCGACAAATCCAATGTAGTCCTTGATGAGCTCAACGTTCCTTGGATTTCCCGCTCGGATCTGCTCCTCGAAGGACTTCAATTTCCTTGCTTGGATATCGGATACCTCTATGCCATAGTAGCGGCATGCAACGAGGATCTCCTTCGTGACATTCTTCCTCTCCGATTTGATGGCGGGACTAATGTCGATGAATTTGTATGGAGCGGCACTTTCGTCATCTGGTTTCTGGTAGTAACTATATTGGCTCGCTCCGAAGGTCTTCTTGATCATGCGTCTGATGAAATTTGAGATGAATGCCAATTTCTCGATGATCTCATCCTGGGTCTCAGACTTTCGAGCCTTTGGATCACTCATGCTACGCTGAGTGTTGCCGACCTCTTTGAGGTACTTGTGGCTAAGCCCGCAGCGGATTGCAGTGATCATCATCGGATGAACAACGTTGGCGTGGAATTCATAGATCTGCCACGCTTCTGCTGCAAACACGTCGTCGGTCCATCTGCTCATGCCTACGACCTCGGCTCTCTTGAGACGTCTTGGAAACCCAGTATCCGGATCTTTCGGTACTATTGGCCATCTATTGTGCGGAGTGTCATGCCGCTGTCCATCGTCGAACATTCGCAGTACATCTTCACGACTCTCAAAGCAGTTGATGTCGAACGTTGCGTTGGCCAAGCCCTTGATCAACTTCATCAACCTCAGATCAAATTGCTGTGTGACGGCAAAGTTGTGGTCGATGGGGATCGCAGCTTCTTGCGGCAATTCGTCAATTGCGAAGGGGAAAGGCTTCGGAAGTTCATTCCCGTATCCATCTTGAGGGACCTCCCGATACTCGGGTTCGCCTTCAGCTTCGTCCGGTCGTTCCTTCAAAATGATAGGAACTTCCTCCTCTTCCTCTCCTTCGGATTCCTCGATCTCAATGACCTCTTCGGCTGTCTTGCGTGCGTTCTTGATGACTTCATCGATGTTTGCACCTGCAGCAGAGGTTGTTTCACCGGAAGAACTGGCTGGGACATCTTTCGGAGGTGATCGTTGATTGCGGTCCCTTGTCTCCTTGGGTACCACATGTGTGAGCTTCCCATTCGCGATCAAAACCGCTACGCAGTGCGGACATATCGTCAATCGCACATCGACTTCGCCAAGACAGTTAGGACACGGCCTTGAATCATAGTCTTTCATCGCTCGGCGGTACACGATCTCCTCGAAGAGTTCCTGCCATTCGGTGTTATCATACTCTGGGTAAACACCACTCTCCTCGATCATACCCAACAGCTTTAAGATTTTGGCGTCGTCCTCGGAGTAGGTATCGTCCTGAACCTCAACCGCTAAGCTCTCAAGCTTTTGAAAGCGTGGAATCATGATCGGGTTTCCGTATTTGGACTCTAGAACAAGGTAGCTTCCAGGGTCGGGTTCCCCACTGAGTAACCGGATCCATTCGATCTTCTCAGGCTGTCCGGGTTCCGCATTGTCGCATTGCAACCATGCCCCTTTAACCTCATCGAAGGGAACGACGTTCTCAACCAATAGAGACCCAGTCGCCGAGATGAGAAGTCCGTACTCCTGCAGCTTCCACACCGGAATGTAGAGAACCACTGGGCGATCCCTCATTGCGACCTTACGACCCAGCCAAGGTTTACCCTTGTAGCCCTGTTCCCAGGCCCATGGCGGAAAACATGTGAAGTGGATAGAATCCCTTCCCGATGAACCGAGACCTCCCGGCACTAGCCCTCGTCGCATGATTGAAGTCAGCGCTCCGAGATTGGTAGCGTGAAATGCAGTCACCATAGATAGGGCCATGTCGTTGGTCATTCTCGACCCAATGTGGTCGATGTCAATGGTAACGTCATAACCTCCGCCGTCTGTTGAGTGTGCCGAGGTTGCTCTTACAGCCACGGGAAAGCACCATCCATCGCTATGGTGGAGTCTTCCTTTAGAGATTCCCATGTCCTTGAGTTCGTTAATCCATCCCTTCTCCATCGGGTCATCAGGCTCATTGAGTTCATCAGGGTGAACACGGACCGCTAACATTTGGAATCTGACCCTCTTGGTCATGCGGAAACACTCATAGTTTTGGTCGAAGTACTTCTCCAAACGTGCCTTCTTGGTCACGATATCTATGTTGCCGTAGTGATAACCGTCTTCCCAAACTGCATTATCACCTAACAGGTCTTCCCATGACACCCATGCGCCTTCATCGCATTTGATTGGTGCGAGTCTTCCTCCTGTCCTGAACTGGCGTCCAATTCGATGTCTCAACTTCGCTCCCAATCGACGACTCAGGGCCTGGCTCGTTTGGCTGTATTCACGTACTCGACAGTCTGGAGTCGGATACTTGTGGTTGCCGTAGTCGGAGTTCTTTGCAGCGAAAGTGACTCCGTTGATCGGTACTAGTTCAACTTTCCCGACCATCGTCATGGGGTCGATCGGCTTGTATCCCTTCTCCCTCCGTGTTGGTAGGGGATAGAAGTGATGACATGCCTTTGGTGTGAGGGAACTGGAGTGCACAAATGCCTTCTCGACAAATTCATACACCTCTTTCATATCCTTAGGGCCTGCTTCCACAAGCTTCCGCCCATTGTAGGAATGTGGTCCTCCTTCGACTCCATCAGCACTTTCGATCAAGGTGAATCCGTCATGGTCGAACATTGTCACGACTCTTGCTTTTAACATTTCTTTGCGCCTGAACTCGCTGTCGACCTTTCTGTCTGGAGTGGGCGACGCTCTCTGCTTCTTCTTCTTAGGCTGTTCGGTTGGATGTCCTGATGGTACATCGTCGGGTGCAACCTCTCCCTTCACTCTCTTCTTCCAATCACTCAACACCGAGGTGACTGTAGGTGAGGATGAAAGGGTCTTCTCGCAATTGAGAGTTGTGTGTCCCGACTCCATGCAGTGGATGCAGAATTCTGCCCGCCCGATCTTCTTCTCAAATTCGTCGATGGCATGCAGTATTGATGTCTTCGGGTCGGACATGTCAACATCTTGCTCCTCCTTCTCCTGTACACATTCAGTCTCCATATCGACACCTTCGGCCTCGGGCTCGCCAGTGGCTCCTGTTCCCTGTTCTGGTTCTTTTCCGATTTCGAAGAAGTGGTCGATGTCGAATTCAGGAAGCGGCATAGTCCTCATGCGGACAAGAATCAGCGCCACGCTTGCCGCCTCATCAGAGTGCGGGTCCATGGTTCTAATCATCGATCGCTTTCGGTTCTCATATGTTGTCCTGTCGTACAGCGATGCAGTGACGCGTTTGATGGATTCCTCTAATCCCGTCCTCAAAGCTTCGATGTCACCCCATCTCCTGAACATGTGCCTGAAAAGTTGAGCAACTTCGAACATGCCCAGCAGCGCTTCCACCATGTCACCTACCCGTTCCTCCGTGGGATCATCTCCGAATATAGTGCGGAATACATCGGGTTCCAGTATGGTCTTGAGGTATTTGGTGTAGCATACGTTGCCAAGGTCATAGGATCCCTGGAAGTACTTGGCGCTGCCGATTTTCTGCTTTTCCACATGGATGCTGGGTCCTCTCCTCGTTTTGAAGAAGTTCTCCGTCATTGTTGATGACAACCTGATCCCCCCGAAGAACGAAATCTCCTTCTGGAAACCTGGATTCTCATTGAAGATGATCATCGCCTCGTGTAAAAACTTCATCAAGTCATCGTGCGGGTTCATCTCGGAGATTACGATGGTGGGAGAAGATACCGTTTGCCCCATGCCGAAGTTGTGAAGCAATCGAGCACATGCATGAAATCGCTTCTGGACGTAGTCTTCTGCGGACATCCCACGGCATCTGTTTGCTGCTCCGTTGATGCATTCCGTATAGCAATCGTCTTTCAACTCGAAGTCTATGGGATTGCAGAACAGACAGTAATCGCAGCAAATTTCCTCACCCTCCTTAAAGTCATCAATGACGTACCACCTTTGAGTCCTTGAGTATATTGGTTCTGGTTGAAGGACTCCCCAGTACTCATCCATCCATGGCATTTTGTTCTCTCTCCTTACCTTCTCCCTCTTCCTCCTCTCAGACTCATTCTCACCTGAAGGCTCCGCAGTGGACTGATAAGCATGGCTTCCTCTCACGGAATCTCCGAACAAGTACTGATACAACCTCTCTTTGTCCTGCAACACGTGTTCCAAGTTGGGATCATGGAGGCTGTTCGCTTCGGTCAAGGGATCCGGTGCCATAAAGCAAGAAGCGAGCATCTTTTCTCTGAACAAGTGCTTTTCCATGACAGCGTGGACCAAAGAGGTTCCAGACTTCATAGAGTAGGGGTGACCGCTTCCGGCGACCGAGAT